CAGGAAGCTCAAGATGGCACCTTCTTATTGGTCCTGGGGCCCAAATTGAGGTGACAGCAGCAGTCATAGGATAGTCCCCCACCCTTCCCACCCAATGGGTCAGTTCTGTCCTACCCTTCTCCCTCGTCCCAGAGTCCTCACCCATTGGTCTTGCTTTGACTACTGAAAGGTTGACACCTGCTGCAGAGCTTTGTAGTCTTCATGTGATCATAACAGTGATATCACATAGAACTTCCTGAACACAGAATGGAACCCACTCCTAATTCTGCTCCGCAGCTATAACCTGGTATTATTGCCCTGGGCCAGTTGGTTAGTCTTCTTCCCTTTCTTTCTTATTTTATTTTATTTTTTAATTTAAGAACTTGTTCTCTGATTGGCCATTAGTTCCACAAAATTTTTATTTTATTTTATATATTTTATTAATTTTTTACAGAGAGGAAGGGAGAGGGATAGAAAGTTAGAAACATCAGTGAGAGAGAAACATCAATCAGCTGCCTCCTGCACACCACCCACCGGGGACATGCCTGCAACTAAGGTACATGCCCTTGACCAGAATCAAACCCGGGACCTTTCAGTCTGCAGGCCGACGCTCTATCCACTGAGCCAAACCGGTCTTGGCCGTCTTCTTCCCTTTATATGCCCATGTTCTTTTTTTATTTTTTTACTTTTATTGTCCACTGAATTTATTATTATTATTATTATTTATTTATTGTTTGAAGTAATACAAATAGTAGTACATATGTCTTCTTTTTTTTCTCCCCCCGGCCTCCTCTACCCCTCAGTACATGCCTTCACCTACCCACCTACCCCGCTCCAGTGTCTTGTATCCATTGGTTATGCTTATTGCCCATGTTCTTTATTCACAAATACAGGAATCCTGTGTGTGCAGTCTCCTAGCTTTTCTTCTTGGTGTTATATCTTGCGATGTGCAATGGTTCCAGGTCCTTGGTTGGCTTAGGGTGGAGGCTCAGAACAATACCTGATCCCTTCCCAAGTTCAAAACTGATGGAAAAAGGACACAAGGAGGAGAGATAGAGGCCAGGGCTAAGGTTATGGTTGGGAAGGCGGATGGCCAGTATTGCTGAAGCTGTGCTCCAAACGGAAGTCCACCCCTCTCTCCTCAGAAAGGGGATGAGCCAACGCCTCCCTCCCCCTACCTGCTTATCCACTCCCACCTCCCACACTGTGGTCTGGGCTGAGGGTCCAGGGAATGGACAGCCTGAAAGGGGCTCAGTCTGAGGTTCCCATCTCCCTGTAAAAGTTGAAATCAGTACACTTCTTCCTTGTCCTGTCCTCCCAGGAGGATGATGGGGATCTGCACAGTATCCCATCTCTGAGGCTAGTCTCCTGCTGCTGGTTTTCACCATCCTGTATTGGGCCTTGCACACACACACACACACACACACACACACACACCCTCCGCCCCCCACCATGCCTCAACATACCTCTTTGGTGCATCTGGGATCTCTTTTATAAATTGTCTTTCTCAGCCAAGTGCATGAACACATGTAAGTCTTTAAAGACCATTTTATTTCAAAGTGTTCCTTTTATGTCTAAATTGAAGAAAAGAATTTCATTTCTGCTCTTAAGGTTTTTGTTTAGTCCTAGAGAGCCTGAACAAATGTCATCTACAGGTAATCAAATCCAAAGCCTCTCGTGGCACAGTCCTGCTCCCAGGGATGGGGAGTTCATTTTAAAGGGCCTTGGTAATGAAAAGGGGGTGCTTGATCTCGGAGTTGACCTGTTCAGAACGGAGATTTCTTTTTTTTTTTTTCTTTTTTCTTTTAAATAAAATTTTATTGATTTTTTACAGAAAGGAAGGGAGAGAGATAGAGAGCTAGAAATGTCGATGAGAGAGAAACATTGACCAGCTGCCTCTGAGATTTTGGTATTTGTATCTGGTTTCAGCTTTAGGTGGCTGATGCAATCTCCCTGCCAGGTCATCTCTGCATCATTGCAGGCCCCTAGTGTGGCCCTTCCTGCCTCCCTCTCTTCAGAGTCTTCCCAGAACTTTACCCTCTGGTCTCCTTCCCCCCACCTCCCACCCTGCCGGTAACCTCCCCTCCATGACCACAGCCATAACACACTGTAGAGTGCTGTTGTATTATCTCCAGGCTTTCTGACGCCCTTCCTGTCCCTGCAGGGCAGGGACCCTGAGGAGCCGGAGGCCCGAGGGCCCTGTTCTGGTCCCAGGGCCTGGGGACATCTGCCATCATGGGCCAGGAGGAGGACGGAGGTGGGCACAACCCCAGAAGCCTGGCCTGGCCGCAGCTACTCTTCAGAACCAAGGCAAGTGTGGGGGCCCATGTCTTGAAGAGGGGAAGTGGTCTGAGGATCATTATGTGGGATGTGCTGCTGTCTGTCCAGTCTACCCAGGACTCCTGCACCCACAGTGACCCTACTATGCCATGAAGGCCACCCATTCTGTCTCCTCTAAGCCTCTGAGGCTGAACAGGGGAGAGGAGGGTCTGCAGGGGCACCTACTGTGGGGCCTGAGGCCATCCTAGCAAGTGAGAGGGACACCCGCTGCCAGACTCTAGTGAGGCCAATGTGGGTTCAGGCGTACAGCTCCTAAAATATGCTGTCCTCTCCACAACCTCTGCCCCTGCCCAGCCAGCTTCTAGGCAAGGTGACGGCTCTTGAAGGTGGCCTGGGTCCTCAGCAGACTGGGGATACTTCCAGTGGCCTCCATCACTCACTGCTCCCCTTTCCTACAAAATCCTGGGCACCGGGTGCTATGTTGAGTATTGGGAGAGGCAGGCACCACTGGTGGGCAGCTGTGTGGGAGGTTGGCTGGTGGCTCAGGCAGCCCTGAGCCAGGATTTCTGCTTCTGCCTGGGTGATATATATAAGCTGATGGTGGTCAATAAGGGTGAGCAGTGTTCAGGAGATGTGTTGACATCAGAGGTGACCTGGGGACAGCTTAGTGGAAGCATGAAGTAGGCAAGAGCCCAGAGGTGCCCAGGAGCATGTGGTGTAGAGAAGAAACCACCAAAGGGGCCTGAAGGGATGTGTGCACCAGAGAGCAGGCTGTTGGGGAAGGAATGAGTGGAAGAAGTGTTGGGGAACCCTGGGACAAGAAGAGGTGAGCCGGTCCTTAATGTGGCTGGAGTGGCAGCATCCTTGTCTGTACAATAGCAGTATAGATGTTCCCTGGGGGCTGCCAGTAACATTTCTCCATGTGCTAAGCCCAGCGCTTTGCAGGGGACAGGGTCTTGGGTGGTCCATAGGTGGTGGCAGAAGCAATTCCTTAGGGGCAGTAATCAATTCTGGGTGCCATCATCTTTCCCTCAGGGAGGGATGGTGGTGGGGGTATGCAACACAGATTTGGCAGCAGCTGGGCTTACAGGTCAAGCAGAAGCTACCATGGTGACAGTGATGGGGAGAGGGATGGTGAGTGCAGGGATCAGGACACCCAGAAGCCTGTGTTTTCAGGCTGGTCTGGGCAAGGGAGGCCCCCAGGCAGTGATGGGAAGGGGAGCCCTTGTTTGGACCCTAGATGGTGCCTGGAAGAAATTGAGGCAAGTGGTCCCAGCCAAGGTGGGGCTTCAGCAAGCCTCAACCCACAGCTCTTTGGAAGTTGGGGCTCCTGATAAGTGACAGCTAGCATTTATTTGATGCCTAATACTATCGGATGTGTGCCCTGGCTTTGAGTCCAGATTGCCTGAGGACTCAGGGAAGGCAGAGCCCCAGACCACCTCCTCAGCGTCCTGGCCAGCTGGGGGGAGGTGGGCATGAAGAAGGGAGAATCATGGGCTGGATATCACCAGGGGTTCAGCCTGGCTCTGCCCTCTAAGTGCCCTACTCCTGGACACCTGCTCCCTTCAGTGCTCTGGACACTTGTGAGAATCTTGCTGTTCAGGGCCAGCCAGCCCCAAGTTCTCCAGTCCTTCTAGTTAGTCCGTCTGTCCACCGGTGCACGAGCTTGCCCCGAGGGCCTGTGGGTGCTAACCTTGGTATAACCCTAGTCTGGCTGGTGGACATCCTGTGGGCGGCAGAAAAGGACTGCAACCCGGTATGCACCTTGCGGAACCGGCCATTAGCTTGATGCACCAGCCCAGGCCTTCCTGGTGACCACAGTCTTTAAGGAACCTCGCGGGGGGCGTCTCCACACGCCACTTTGCCCTCTTCCAGGTCCCCTTCTACAGTGTCATAGCTTCGCTCCCGCCCCCGCCCCCGCCCCGCCCATAGCCGCGCATTTAACCACGCCCACTCACTCCGGCCCCGCCTCGCGTCCCAGGTCCGCCTGAACGCTTTTGGTCGCGCCTCAGAGCTCAGGGCCAACCCATTCGCCAAGGCCCCGCCCCCTCGACCGAGGCTCCACCCCCACGATCTTAGCCCCGCCCACCGCTCCGGCTCCGTCTCTCTCCGCCCCGCAATCACGTTCTCGGCCTCGAGCACGTGACCCGGCCCTGCCTCCTTGTCCGAAGCTCCACCCCCACTTGTGGAGACCCTCCCCCACTCTCTCCGCCTAATCCCCGCGCTCCGGTTCCGTCCCGCGCTCTCGGCCCAGTTCTCACTCTTGGCTCCGCCCCCACGTTTTTGGCCTCGCCCCCACGTTCTCGACCCACCCCGAAGCCTCCGTCCCGCCCCCATGCTCTCGGTTCCACCCCACGCTCTCCGCCCCGCTTCACGCTCCGGTTCCCGCCCCCACGCTCCCGGCCTTTCCTAATCTCGGGCCCCGCCCCTAGCCCGGCCCCGCCCCCGCACTTCCGGGCGGCGCCGGCGGGGGCGCTCGGGCCTGGGCTTCGGCACTCTGGGCTTGGGCTCCCCGCTCGGGGGAACGATCGCTGCCGCCGCCGCAGGACCGGCCGGAGTCGGGCCGGACTCGTGTCCTCGCGGAGCAAGCCGGCGAGAGTGGGCGGCCGGCGTCGGCGGCTCCGCCGCGGCCTGCCTGCGCCCGCCTCGGGGCCGCCGCGCCGCCGCCGCCGCCGCCGCGATGGGGGCCGCCCCGGGCCGCGCCCCCGCCCCGTCCCGCCCGCCGCGCCGCCGCTGAGCGCATGGGCCGCGCCGCGCCGCGCCGAGCCGCGCCGCCTCGGGAGCCGGGCCCGGGGCCCCGCCGCCGCCGCCGCTGCCGCGCGCGGGTGAGTAGAGTGGGTAGGTCGCGCATTCCTGAGGGGCGCGGGCCAGTGCGGCCGCCTTTTGTAGGCCGCGCAGGCCAGGCCGGGCGCGGGACCCGGAAGAGGGGCTCGGCGGGTGCGGGCCCCGAGCAAGTGCGGGGAGGCTTTGCGGGTCGAGAGCGTGTGAGGGGAGGCTGTGCGGGCCGGCAGTGTGTGCGGGGAGGCGTGCTGGAGTGCTCAGGCTGTGCACGGAGGGTGTGCGGACTGCGGTGATGTTCGAGGAAGGTGTGTGTGTCTAAGGCCGGGAGGGCAGGTGTGTTAGAGAGGAGGTGCCAGCAGGGAGTAGAGAAGACCAGGGACGGTAACCCCGGGGGGGAAGAGTGCTGGGTTTGGTTCAGGAAGGGCGGACTCTTGCTCTAGGTGAGTGGAAGGGTGTAAGGAAGACCCAAGAGGTGGGGATTCCTCCTGGAGGAGCCTGGGTCTGCAGCTGATGTGTTTGATTGGATGATGCCAGGTGCGTGTTGTGGTCTGTGGGTTTAGGCATGTTTCAGGGTGGGGGTAGCGTGCAGAGTAGCTGCTGGGGTGAGACTTTGTGTGCAGGGACTCTGGAGAGAGGCTGGACAGAAGGAAAGTCTCTTTTTCCTAACTCCAGCAAACGGTAGGAATGAGTGAGTCTGAAACCCAAGGAGAACAGTCCCTCTGAGGCAGAGGAGCCTTAGGCAGGGAGGGTCCAGACTGCTGGTTTGCTTATCTGAGTGGCTGTACTCTTTCAGGTTGATGCACCCAAACTCTGTCTTGAGAGTCTTAGATTCTACCTTCACATCATATTTTGGAATGCATCTTCCATGAAACCAGAGCAGGACAGCCAGGGCAGTGAAACTTAGTTCGGCACTAAGGACAGTAGAGAAAAGTAAATCAATTCTCTTGGGGTTTTTCTCAGTTCACCTCTCAGATTTATAGAGTTCTTAATTATGCATCTTAGCCTTATTTGCTCCCACTTATGTTCTCTGCATCTTCAGGAAGAGTCTTAAGCATCCTTGGATGCACAGGGCCTGTTTTAGAGAACACACACAGTCTAAAATCTGACCTTCCAAGATAACAGTATCAGGGGTTCACTTTTTAAAAAAATATATATATTTTTATTGATTTCAGAGAGGGAGAGAGAGAGAAAGAGAAACAGAAACATCAATGATGAGAGAGAATCATTGATTGGCTGCCTCCTGCACTCATCCTACTGGGAATCAAACCTGAAATCAGAATCGAACCTGGGGCCCTTCAGGCTGCAGGCCAGTGCTCTATCCACTGAGCAAACCGGCTAGGGCTGGGGGTTCATTTTTAAGAACTTATGTTCAGGAATAAGGATGGGGAAGCATATACAGTACAAAAGCTAGGTGGACTTTTTTTTTGGTTACATTGGTTATTTAAAATTTAGGTGGGGGGGAATGGATTACATGTAAAACGGTAGCCCCTTAATCTTTCAAGAGTTTAATTAATGGACGGTTGGGAAAATGTCAGTCATGTTGTAGGACTTCCACACTCCATATAAATAAACAAGACGATCAAAAATTATATTTGAGCCAAATAAATAAATATATACACATCAATAGCATTGAGCTGGCTGCTATGGTACCCAGGGGGTATGTCAACTTGGCAGTGACCAAAGCAGACTTAAATGTGGTATCAGAATTGTAGATTCCTTTCATGGAATCCCTTTATTGATGGTGGTTATATGCTGTTGGTCAGATTCAGTGCTTGTGGGGATTTACTCTAACCTGAATTAATGTAACTGCTTTATGTGTGGTATGTACATGTGTGCACACCAAATACTTGGTGTGCTTCTCTGTGGAAACCTGGAGGTTGTGTGAATTGGAGCACATTTTGATAACATCAGTTATTTGGGGAAATGTTCATGTGCTTCTATAAACACCAAAGGTCTTCTGTCAGTTGATAGCTAAAATAGATGTGAGTTATAAGAAATGTTTCTTTTGGGCAATGAAAAATAGTTTAAAATGATTAGGGAAACTTGTTCAAATGTGAATTAAAATGTCAGTCTTTTAAGATAGACTGGTAATAAAGGGCTAAATCTTGAATTGACTGCTGTTTCTATAACATAGTAGTTCAGCATCTGTAAAGAGGTAACATTTGGCATCTGTTGCAAGTGTCATTTCCCTTTATGTCAATGAATTAATAATTTATTGGTATGCATTAGTCGCCAGACCTTGTGTTAGGTGCTGTGAGTCCTGCAGAAAATGTTTAAATTAGGTTGCTACAGATCATTTACATAGAAGTCATAGCACCTTAAGAGAAAGTGATAGATTCATAAATAGCTTCCCATTCCAACACAGTGACTTGGTTCTCTCTTAATGCCAGTGAACTACAGAGTATCTCTAGCTCAGGGGCTGGGTTCAGGCCCTCTCCCCTGAAATGGTGTCCTGGACAAGACGACATTAGACATCCACAATCTGGTGTGGAGCTGAGACATACAGGTATTCATTCTGTGTTGAAGTGGTCCATGAACAGCAGGGTGCCACAGCACACTGGTCTTGACCTTAAGAACAGGCTGTTTCTGCTGAGGCTGAAATTAAGCCTACCCAGTCATTTTCATAAAAAGTCATTAGCTGCAGAAATGTCATTTGGTGCACATAATTGTGACCTCCATCTCTGGATGCTTTTTATTCTAGCCGTTAGCAGTGATTGGCGGGTGAAGTGTGTGCAGTGTGAGAATGCAGGTTTTGGGGGAGGATTACATGTAGGCCAGGGCCCAGAGTGGAGTGATGGCAGAGAGAGCTACCCTTTGTGCTGGTACCAGATTTTAAGGTTTTATTTTGCTGCTTCTGGCTTTTTCAGTGCTCCAGGCATTTTGGACCTGACATGCTTCTCTCCATCCACCTCTAGGCAGGCCATTTACATCCTGGCAGTCACCCCCTTGGCCAGGTTGCGAGGCATGGCACAAGCTTGTGATCCCCCACAAGGATGTGTCAGGGAGGACCAAAGACCATGGCAGGGTGCTGATCCAGGGCAGTCTTCCCTCAAACCTCAGGCAGACTTGTAGCAGCAGCAACAAAAAACCCTCATGGTTCCCAGACTTTTAGAAGAGTGAGTGGTTTGGTGTTTAGTTTAAAAAGTTAAATCATGTGAGTTGTTACGCTTCCTTCCCTAAAAGTTATAATTGTATTGGATTTCATTTTTCCCATACCTTTTCTGCCCCTCAGTAGGATACTCTCATTATAAGCAAGGTTTTAAAGGTGCAGTGCAGCTTTCTGATGGGAGCATTTTTAAGATTGTCCACATTGGTGACTTGAGAAGTCGTGCGTGTGTGTGAATGTGGGTGGTGTCCTTTGCTCACTCACTTGAAGATGCTGAAGGTGACCCATAATTAACTGCTCTTATAGGCATGTATTGAGAGTTAGAGGAACAACTCATTGTATGTTTGCACATGTGAGGCATACTAAGTATGAAGTGATGGAGTAGGCAGAATGCACAGTGGCTGAGGGCCTAGAGAATGTCGAGTGCAGACACAACTGCCCACCTAATGGTGTGTGATGTGCCATCCTTTCTGTATCTGAGTCTCATAGTGACCCATGGGGCAGGTAGGGTGGTCATCTTTAGTTCACATGTGTGGGATCATCTTTCACCCAAGTTTGTACAGCTAGGAGGACTAGAAGCACCTTTTTTCCTCCAGTCCTCCTGCCTTCCTGAAGCTTGCAGAGAACTGGCCACTCAGCTCTGTAGCCAAGATGGGAGGTCCCCAGGCTTCTGGTCTCCGTGATGTTTTCACAGACGACACTTGAAGGGTGTGGTGCTCTCTATTTCTTAACACAGAGGCATTCTTGTTGTTGTAAAAGTTTCCATAAATTGTTTTAATAAGCAAAACCTTATGATGAAAGGTTGCAAATTTAAATGGAATTTCTGGCTTTGAGTTCTAGTGGGAGGGCATCATTGCAAGTCTTGTCTTGAGAAAACCTCTATGGTCATGTTTCCATGGACCCACCTTTCCTAATCCTTGTCCTCTTAATGGTTTCAACAGGACAGATTGATTCACTTTGGAGCTATAAGTACTGATGTATTAGGGTGCAGCGCTCATTGTTCATTGACGCAGAGTCTCAAAATGAATGTTCAAGAGCAGGGTTTCCCCTTGGACCTCGCAAGTTTCACCGAAGATGCCCCCAGACCTCCAGTGCCTGGTGAGGAGGGTGAACTGGTGTCCACAGACCCCAGGCCCGTCAGTCACAGCTTCTGCTCTGGGAAAGGTGTTGGTATTAAAGGCGAGACTTCAACAGCCACTCCAAGACGCTCAGATCTGGACCTGGGGTATGAGCCTGAGGGCAGTGCTTCACCCACCCCACCGTACTTGAAGTGGGCCGAGTCATTGCACTCCTTACTAGATGATCAAGATGGGATAAACCTGTTTAGGACTTTCCTGAAGCAGGAGGACTGTGCTGACCTGCTGGACTTTTGGTTTGCCTGCAGCGGCTTCAGGAAACTGGAGCCCTGTGACTCCAATGAGGAGAAGAGACTGAAGCTGGCCAAAGCTATTTACCGAAAATACATCCTTGATAACAATGGCATCGTATCCAGGCAAACTAAGCCGGCCACCAAGAGTTTCATAAAGGACTGCATTATGAAGCAGCTGATTGATCCTGCCATGTTTGACCAGGCCCAGACTGAAATCCAATCTACCATGGAGGAGAATACTTACCCCTCATTCCTCAAGTCTGATATTTATTTGGAATACACGAGGACAGGTTCAGAGAGCCCAAAGCTCTGTAGTGACCAGAGCTCTGGGTCAGGGACAGGGAAGGGCATATCTGGATATCTGCCCACTTTGAACGAAGACGAGGAATGGAAATGTGACCAAGACATAGATGAAGATGATGGCAGAGACCCTGCTCCCGCCGGCAGGGTGACCCAGAAGCTGCTCCAGGAAACAGCTGCCCCTCGGGCCTCCTCAAGTAGACGGTACAGCGAAGGCAGAGAATTCAGGTGAGTCAAACACAAGCTCACCTCCCAGATGGAGAACTGGCAAGAAAAGATGCTGGTAAGGCATGGTGTTGTCTTTCAACCCCAAGTGGGTATACTCCTGTTGCCATGGGCACATTGTGGTTTTAGTTCTTAGTCATGATATCTTCACATTTGTCATTAGATGTTTTTAATATTTTTATGTTGAGGATACCTTGAGAACAGACTAGCCTTAGCCTGTGTTGCTCAGTGGTTAGAGTGTTGACCCCATTACCAAAGGGTCACAGATTCGATTCCTGGTCAAAGGCATGTGCATGCCTAGTTGCAAGTTTGATCCTTAGCCCCAGTCAGGGTGCATATGGGAGGCAACCAACCAGTGTGTCTCTATCACATTGATGTTTCTCTCTGTTCCCCCCAATTCTTCTAAAAATCAACAGAAAAAATATCCTCAGGTGAGGATTAACAACAGCAGCAAAAATAATGACTAAAGAATGATGGAAAAATAAAGAAAAAAAAGACAGACTAAATATATAGCTTTCTGTCATTTGGAACATTAGAATTCTTTGAAGCCGTGACATTTACACCTTGTTAGCAGTAAAATTTGTATCCTCTTGCATAGAAGGTGCATTTACCTGGTAGGGGTAGTCCTGGCTTAATAAAGGGAGGTGTGGACATTTAGATGCATCAATACTTAGAGAATTCTGGATCATTGTATTTTATAATGGTCTAAGATTCTTCCGAGAGGCTGGGAAATGGTGGCGAGGAGGCTGTCAAGCAGCATGTTGTCTGAGCATTTTAGGAACTTTTGTGGTTGCTTTTCTAGAATTGGACTTTTTTTCCTTGCCAACAAAATGTATTAGTGCTTTTGTGTGTGAGTGTGTGTGTGTGTGTGTGTGTGTGTGTGGTCAGTGCCCAGCAGCCTGGGGGCATTCTTTGCATGTTAGGCACATATGCAACTTTGGAGATATGAAGTGGTGCTATCAAGAAGTTGTTACAATTTAGAAAACTCTTTCTTCATACTCTTCTTGGTAATCCCTTTTGTGGTTACTAGAGGGATATTTGGGCATAGTTGGAGCCTATTGCTGATGTTAGCAAATATTAGCAGGGCTCTTTTGTTTTCCACTCATTTCCCGATAGCTGGTCTAGAGACTACTGCAGGTGAAACTCCGAAAGCCTGGAATTGGCATGACCCAGTTGATTTCATCAAGATTCTAAAAATACATCCCCAGGTGCTGGAATTCTGTCACGGAGTTTTAAAAACTTGGATCATTTATTCAGACTTACTGTGACAGAGAAATTGATACTTGCTAATAAACACAGGATCAAACATTTTTGAGGTTTAACTCTCCTTCAAGCGATGTGATTCAGGATATGCTCTTTTTGTTGTTGCTCCTCACCCAAGGATATTTTTTCATTGATTTTTAGGGAGAGTAGAAGAGAGAGGGAAAGAGAGAGAAACACTGATGTGAGAGAAATACATCGATTGGTTGCCTCCTATAAGAGCCCCGACCAGAGTCCAGGCCGGATGAGCCTACAACTAGAATCGAACCCAAGGATCCCTTGGTCCACAGGCTGGCGCTCTATCTACTGAGCCAAACTTTGAGATAATTTTTGTATGCCTTTTTGCTACTCTCTTTAGCTAAACGCTGTTGGTTTAGCAAGGTTTTTATTTCTTTATTTGGAATTAAAAAATATATATATAATTTTATTGATTTTTTTTTTTTTTTTTTTTTTTTTTTTTTTTTTTTACAGAGAGTAAGGGAGAGGGATAGAGAGTTGGAAACATTGATCAGCTGCCTTCTGCACACCCCCTACTGGGGATATGCCTGCAACCAAGGTACATGCACTTGACTGGAATCAAACCTGGGACTCTACAGTCCCCAGGCCAATGCTCTATTCACTGAGCCAAACCAGTTAGGGCTATTTGGAATTTTTATAGTTGTTTATTTGAACCAAAACTGTTGACATATGCCAGAGAACAAAGCTTTTTAGCAAGCTTTTTAGACTAGAGAGTCATAAAATCCTGTTAAGGCTAATAACTGTCAAAGTTTTAAAAACTTCACCTAAAAGTTTTTATATTTGATTAGAACAATTTTAAGATGGGGTTAAATTTGAGGCCTACAATTAAGCTCCATTTTTTTTTTCAGGAAAAAAAAAATGGAGCTTAATTCTGATTTCTAACAAAATATTTCTGAGGGCTACTCCTCCTCTAACCATCTCCAGTCTGTACTCTTTTTGGTTCTTAAGCAACTTTGCTCTTTCTTTGGTTCTACTTGTTATAACGAGTCCTTGCTATCAGATTAATAGAATGTGTTGACTCTGCCCATCTGATAGTATCTTATCTAATAAAGAGGGAATATACTAATTGACCCTCAAGCTGTCACAAAAAATGGCAGCTCTCACAGCCAATCAGGAGGGAATATGCCAATTCACTGCTCTGCCTTCAAAGATGGCAGCGCCCACAGCCAATAAGGAGGGAATTGCTAATTGACTGCCCTGTCCTCAAAGATGGCGGTGCCCAGTCCCCTCAGTCCCACCACGGCGGCAGTTCCGCAGCAAGGTCGTTGTGTGTGCCTGCCTCTGGAGTCCCCCAGTCCTCTCAGCCTCCCAGCCGCACAGAGCTGGCCTGAGGTGCAGGCAAGCCTCAGATGGGGGCTGCCTGGCCACCAAGGGCCGCCTGAGGCTCAGGTAACCAGGGCCAGCCGAGGCTTGCGTTGCTGGCAGTGGCAGCAGCAGAGGTGTGTTGGGGGCATAGCCTTCCCCTGATCACTGGGTCACCTCCCACCCCTGAGGCTCCTGGACTGTGAGAAGGGGCAGGCTGGGCTGAGGGATCCCCCCCTCCAGTGCATGGATTTTCATGCTCCAAGCCTTTACTTCAGCTATAAGGACTGTGGCACACTTTGTTTTTAACATGCCTGTCCTGAGCTGCTGGTGGTGAGGGAGCCTGGAGTCCTGTCTACAATGGAATATTTTCCTATTTGAAGTTGCCTATGGTGCTTTTGTTCGTGGAGAATCTCCGATGTTGGGTAATCATTTATGAGCACTGACAGGATAGAGTTCACATTTCACTTGTTCTGTGGGATGTGCAGTTAGGGTGCACTAGTTGCAAGTAACAGAAACTCCAATCCACTCTGATTTAAACAATGAAGGGGATTGGCTGACTCAGATGAAAAATGAAAAATCTAGAGGCAAGGCCAACTTCAGGTATGGTTTGAACTGTATTCCAGCCATTTTTCTTTTTAGGACTTCACTTTTTTTAGAGCAATTTTAGATTTCCAGCAAAATTGAGATGAAGGTACAAAGGCTTCCCATATATCCTTAGCCCAACACATGCACAGCTTCTCCTATTGTCAACAACTCCCACCAGAGGTATGTTAATTGCAGCTAATGAACCTATATGGACACATCATAATCATCCACAGTTCGTAGTGTTCATTAGAGTTCACTCTTGGTGGTGTACAGTCTATGGATTTGGACAAATGTATAATGACATGTGCCTACCATTATGATATCATATAGAGTATGTTCACTGCCCTAAAAATCCTCTGTTCTCCACCTATTTCCCTTCCTCCTAACTCCTGGCAACCACTGATCTTTTTATTGTCTCTATAGTTTTGCCTCTTCCAGAATGTTATATAGTTAGAATCATATAGTGTATAGCCTTTTAAAACTGGCTTTTTTCGCCAAAACCAGTTTGGCTCAATGGATAGAGTGTTGGCCTACGGACTCAAGGGTCCCAGGTTCGATTCCAGTCAAGGGCATATACCTTGGTTGTCGGCACATCCCCAGTAGGGGTGTGCAGGAGGCAGAAGATTGATATTTCTCTCTTGTCAATGTTTCTAACTTTCACCTCCTTTGGATACATACCCAAAAGGAGCGCAGTTGCTTGATTGCATGGTAGAACAGGTTTAGTGTTTCTTTTTAAAAAAATATATTTTATTGATTTTTTTTTTTTTTTTTTAAAGAAATGAAAGGAGGGGGCTAGAGAGTTAGCTGATGCTTTATCCACTGAGCCAAACTAGTTAGGGCCTGGTTTCTTTTCTTTTTAATACTTATTAAAATTTACTTTTAGAAAGGGATGAAGAGATAGAAACATCAAAGAGAGAGAACCATCATCAATTGGCTGCCTCCTGCACATCCCCTACTGGTGATTGAGCCTGCAACCTGGGCATGTCTGACTGGGAAATCAAACCAGTGACCTCTTGGTTCATGGGTTAATGCTCAGCCATCCACAGTAGCTGGGGTTTCTTAATTTTTGCCTCTGCTTTCCTGTGGCCACTTTCAATAGCCTGCTTTTAGGTTGGCTACTTTGTGTTGGAGGTGGCTGCCCAATGGCCTCCCTTTTATAATAATAAAAGGGTAATATGCTAATTAGACAGGACGTCCAACTAGACATCCTTCCGGACAAAGCCGCTGCAGCAGGGGGAGGGCAAGGCCCTTGCAGGAATTTCATGCATTGGGCCTCTAGTGTTTTATAAACAAACTAGTGGCCCAGTGCACGAAATTCATGCACATTAAAAGGGAATTAGAGGAAATCTTTTAATATTGCTATTTGCCCTTTCTTTATAATAGAAGTGTCAGAGATGAAAGAAAATTAGTAAAATGTATATGAAAATCTCCCTCCTGTCAGAGTCTGTGGTACACCTCGGGACCTAGAGCCAAGTCTCGCCCACCATCCACATGCACTTCCAAAACACAGGAGTGCCCTGACCGGTTTGGCTCAGTGGATAGAGGGTCGGCCTTTAGACTCCGGGGTCCCGGGTTCGATTCCAGTCAGGGGCACGTACCTTGGTTGCAGGCGCATGCCCATTGGGGAGTGTGCAGGAGGCGGCTGATAGATGTTTCTCTCTGATGCATGTTTCTGACTCTCCTCTTGTAAAAAAAATCAATAAAATATATTTAAAAACACACATATACACACAAAATAAACACAGGAGACCCAGCCCCAGCCAGCCCCACCCCCATTGGGTGAGAGCCAGACCCAGCTGGCCCCACCCTTGTCAAGCCCTGCCAGGTGAGGGGCA